TTAAGAAGTGAAGTATAGGACTGGTACTTTGCAGTGAATGGTTTAATTTTCACTCGTGCCTTGACTTTAGCTACCAATCAGATAACCTCCTTCTAGTTAATTCTACCCACTTAACGTCTATTTCACCCTCCCTGTCTCTAAACCCGAGTAATTTGAAAAACTATGAGTCATCATCCTGAACTAAAGGGTGAAACCATTTACAGAACATTATCACTTGATTGGCAGTTTTCTCTTCCTCCTCTATGCACTGCATACCGTGTCTACTCTTTCGTATATAGCCCGATATGTCTTGGCTCGCAATACTCCAGTGCTGGCCTCAAAGAGTTGAGAACTACCCGATTATTATCATGAACCCTTCCCTTGACAATTTCCTGCTTAAAAGGTTGATAGATCTCTAGTTCGGGCTTCTTAATCATGCCAATTCTCCACATGTCAGTCTCCGTTTTCTTCAACTTCTTCTTAATCGATAGTTCTTTTAGGGTTGGCCCCCTGCTGTTTTCTAATTATTTACCCGTCAATTTTCTGGTTCGCTCCCTACATTTTGTATCGACATTCTTCATGTACAAATAGCTGAAAACGTTCTTACCCAACGCTCCTCCCCCATGTATGTCAATCGCTTCTCAAATTTTGTCTTCCTGCTAGCTTCACTGCTCTCAAATGATGTCCATCCCATTTCACATTGTACTCCCTGATTTGGTGTATTCCCATGAGCTCCTAAAGCAAACCTACCTATTCTACGTTGCCTGATTTCTAATCTTGCTCGAGCTTCCTATCTCATGCACAATACCACAATGCCAAACGTCAGACCTGAAACCAAGACCCCTTTCCATATTTCTCTCACAACTTCATACCTACTGTAATTCCACAGTGCCTTATATTTCATCACTGCTGCATTTCTGTTACCTTTGGTCGTTACGTATATTTCGTGTTCTCTTAGGTACTCGGTCCATTGCTTATCCATACGCCCAGATATTTGTATTTATCTGTTTTCTCTAGCGTGACCGCCTGTATCCTAAGCTTACTACCTTATATATCACTAAAAATCATGACTGCTGTGTTTTTGTTACTGAATCTCAAATCTAAGCTATCTCCCTCATTACCGCAGATGTCCATCAATTTTTGCAAATCTTCCTTGTTTTCGGCCATTAGCACTTTGTCATCTGCGTACATCTATTCCGGTAGTGCCTGTTCAATGAGTTTTCCTTGTTTGGCGAAAGAGAGGTTGAAGCCAAGTCCGCTTCACTTAAATTTGGCCTCTAACCCTTGTAGGTAGATCTTGAATACCGAGGGTGACAGAGAACACCCCTGCCTAAGCCCCCGTTTTACCTCTGTAGGCATGGATACCCGTTTTTCTCACTTTATAACTACCTTGTTACTTTTATAGATATCCTTTAAAAAATTAGTGACTCCGTCTTCTACACCTAGTGTGTCTAGTATTCCCCACAAGTCCTCTTGAACCACGCTATCGAACGCTCCCTTGATATCCAAAATTGCTAGCCAGAGGGGCCTGTGTTCCTTTTCTGCTATTTCGAAGCAGTGCGTCAGTGAGAACAGATTGTCTTCCAACCTCCTGTGTTTCCGAAACCCATTCTGCAGTTCTTCCAGCAATCCCTCACCCTTTATTCATGTCTGCAGTCTTTTCTTTATAGTGTGCATCGCCAGCCTGTAGAACACTGATTTCACTGTTATAGGATGGTAGTTGTTTATGTCAGCTTCGGCCCCCTTTCCTTTATGGATCATGCTCATCCTGATAAGTTTCCATCAATCGGGGACTTCACCATCGATTATTGTTTTGCTCACTGCCTCTCCTAAAGTTTGTTTAGACTTCAGACCCAATGTCTTTATCAGCTAATTTGCCCCACCGCCGCGGTCTAGTGGCTAAGGTACTCGGCTGCTGACCCGCAGGTCACGGGATTGAATCCCGGCTGCGGCGGCTGCGTTTTCAATGAGGTGGAAGTGTTGTAGGCCCATGTGCTCAGATTTGGGTGCACGTTAAAGAACGCCAGGTCATCAAAATTTCTGAAGCCCTCCACTTTGGTGTCTCACAAAATCATACGGTGGTTTTCGGACGTAAAATCTCACATATCAATCATTTATCAGCATAATTTGAATGCTATCTGGGCCCGTTGATTTACTACGAGGAACCCTTTTCTCAGCCCTGTCCCACTCGTTTTGTGAAAATGGAGCAATTGCGCCACTTGATCCATCCTTTTCTATTATTGTGCATAAAGCACTTCTTTGCTGAAACTTTTCTGTACTAGTTATATATTCAATTGCTTCGTTCCCTTTTAGCCTAGCACCTTGAGCTGTAGTTATAAACCTTTGCTCTAGGCTTGTCTCATTTCTTAAGGAGTTTAGATGGTGCCGAAATTTCACAGCTGCCTTTTTATCTGTTTTATGTACTTCTGCCAGCCACTGAGCCCCCTTTATTCTAATCTTTTCATTCATCAGAAGGGATGCTTCTCCTCTACAGCTCAGAAAGATGTCCCTTTTTTTTCAACATCATCTGTCCATTCACTCCGCTGCTTAGCATGTCTGTGTTCCCTAGAGGCTTCCTGACGTCTTGCTATAGCTCTCTTGACTTCCTCATCCCACCAACTCTTGGATTTGCGTCTTCTTTTCCGGGGTGACTTGTCACGTACCTTAGCTGGCTCTAGCTCAGTCTAAATATATTCGTGTATGTCCAAACTGTTTTATTATCTTCAGAGACTACTTTCTCAATTTATTTAGTAGCTATTTCTATTTGCCTTTCTGAATAAATATTTTCCTGTAGTTGCTGTTCTTGTCTGATTCCCACTTTCTCTGTTCTTCCAAAACTGAGTTTCATACGTTTGTGATTCCTACCAAGACTTCTGGAGCCACATTCATCTATGTGTAATCCCCTGAGCCTATCATGCATTCTATGTGACATAAAATTATAGGATGTATGATAGCAACACCCTGAAGCAGCACCCTGCAGTGCCTCTCCGGTAAGTCCGTCACTCAATGACGACCTTTGGCTCTGCTCTCTTTCATTGACGCACAGCGCTCTTGCTCTGCCCAACTCCTGGCTCCAATCTTGACCGGCATGATCGTACCGAATGCCAATGCGGCTTCTTGTAGCGCGCTAGCAGGTCCCGAAGCAGCTGCGTCTTGTCAGCTTCCCGAACATCGGCACCTTCCCCGAAGCAGGCTCTTTACTCCACGTCGACTTCACCAGTTAATTCGCTCCTCCTCGACTAGCTTCTACACAAGCTAAGGAGGGAAGATGTTTGAGGCTTGGAACGCGTCTCCTCGATGACTCGAGTGTACGGTGACAGCACAAGGGAAGAGCCGTAGTGCGGCGAAGAGACGCTTCATTGCAGCCTCAGGTGTCTCAAGCAGAAGCTGGGGTGATGCCGTGCTCGGATTTAAAAACGAGAGTGTTGAAGGAGCTGCGGATGACTCCAAGCGAGTACCGACGGATGTTCGTGGAAATCAAAAAAGAGGCAAATGAGTCTTGGAGTCAAGTGACGGGGCGCCTAGAGACTATACTATGTTTGCTTACTATGTCAGTGTATCGTTCAGATTGAATGCAAGAATCAACGAACTTTATTCAGGAAACAGCCCTAATATATATACAAGCCGATATCAGAGGCACGTGCTGGCTAATCTTCGCAGTCTGGCACTGGAGCTGCTGCATGCGACGCATGCGTAGCATACACGATACACCTCCCTTTCTTCAACAGTTTCTTAACGCCGATATACACCGTGAACTTGATTGAAGTTATCGTCCTACCGCAGACGTCTTGGCTGGCGAGTTGCCCTCTGAGACTTTCTTGGGAGCAGTGTAGTGGGTGGAGGTAGGTTTACGTGCAGTCACGTTGATGTAGGCACTTCTGGCTGGTCGTCGTCGTCGTGTTTTGGGTTTCTCTGCTGTCGAGGCCATTGCGCCAAAATGCTTCATGCGTCGGAATCAGGTGTCTCCGGTTTCGACGGAGCACTTTGTCGTCTTCAGTAACGACGCGATATGACCTCGGCGATACAGGTTCCATGACCTGTGCTTTGCGGTTCCATGCTTTATCTCGTATCCTCACTACTTCTTTCCTGAGCACTGCTAGGTCCTAACCACTGTCGAGTTGCCGGCGCTTAAACACGGAATATTTAGTTTGGGGGATGAAGTCGGGAAGCCTGGTTTGTAGCCTCCTGTCTTGGAGGAGCTCGCCCGGAGAATGGCCGTCTTCCAGCGGTGTAGATCGGTAGCTGAGCATGCCCAGCCAGAAGTCGTCGCAATTCTCTTGCGTCTTTTTCATAATCCGTTTAACGATTTGCACTCCTTTTTCCGCTAATTCATTGGACTGTGGGAAGCCAGGACTGGATTTCACGTGCCTGAAGTTATACCTGGATGCAAAAGTAGCAAACTTAGAAGACGCGAACTGAGGGCCATTTTCACTGCATACCTCAACGGAGATTCCATATCGCCAAAAATACAGCTTAATTTAGCAATGATCGTGCGAGATGTGGTATCGCTTAGTTTTCCCACCGCCGGAAAGTTTGACTGTGCACCGAACACACATAAGTTTGAGCATCCAGCATGCTGAAAAATATATATGCCAACTCTGCACCAAGGGTGATTTGGCGTGGGTCTAAGCATCAAATGCTCGCTTGGTTGCCTATATGCGTACTTTCGGCATACGGTGCAGTTTTTAACATGTTTTCAATGTCTGCATCAAGTCCGGGCCAGAAAACAAGTCGTCGGGCTCGTGCCTTGCATTTGTTAACGCCCAAATACCCTTCGTGTATGCGCTGAAGCATTTCTTCCCTCCTACTTTTTGGGACAACTACTTTGGTACCTTTCAACAGCACTCCCTCTACCAAAGAAAGCTCAGCAGCAAAATGTTTCATGCAGCCATCAAGATTGTCACAGCCGCTGATGCATCGAATCACTTGATTCAAGTCCGGGTCTCTTGCAGTTGCGGCAACTATACGATCCAAGGTTTTTCTGCTTACCCAATCTGAGACAGCACCAATTGCGTGAACTTTTATTTCTTCGGTTGAGCCACTGATGTCTTGGCGTTGCTTGATGGGCGGCGACCTTGAGAGCATGTCGGCCAGCAGCAGTTCTTTCCCTGGTACAAATTCAAGCACATAGTCGTAGTTCAATAAGCGCAGGAAAAACAGCTGAAGGCGTGGCGGCATATCACCGATTACTTTGGATGCAATGGCTAACAGTGGGCGGTGGTCTGTCTCTACAGCTATCTTGCGCGCGTAGACAAAATGATGAAATTTCTCACATCCGAATGTTATGCCCATCGCCTCTTTTTTGATTTGCGAGTACCTTTGTTCAGTTTTATTCTTCACACGTGATGCATACGCAACAGGCCGCCAACTGTCACCGTACCACTGTAGAAGTGCGGTGCCCAGTCCTTGTTTAGAAGCATCAGCAGAAATTTTTCCTTCACGGGCAGCATCCGAAACGGCCAACAAAGGTGCGCTGCTTAGCCATGTGCAAATAGCTGAGCATTCGTTCGCGTGATTTTCGGACCATTCAAACTTCGTCTGTTTTCTGATGAGGCTGCATAAGAGTTTGGTCTTTTCTGCCAAATGCGGAATGTATTTCCCAAAGTAGTTCGCTACACCCAACATTCTGTGGACAGCAGCTTTGTTCGTTGGCTACAGTATTTCTGCTAGGGACACACTCAATGTCGCATTCGGCCTTATCTCATCTTGGGTGATGACGTCACCCAAAAACTCAACTTCAGTTAGCCTGAACCTGCACTGGTTCGCGTTAAATGTCAAACCAGCATTTCCCGAAAGTTGCAATGCATTCTGAAGGCACGTGTCATGTTCTTGTTTTGCAGACCCCCAGACAAGGATATCATCTACATACACCCGCACCCCAGGAGCCCTGTAAAAAACATCGCTCAGTGTTTTTTGAAAGACTTTTAGAGCCAACGCGATTCCGAAGGGCAGCCTCAAAAAGCGGTAGCAGCCGCAAAGTGTACCAAATGTACAAATTTCTGATGTGGTTTCATCCGAAGGAATTTGGTGGAATTCTGTATGAGCGTCGAGGCGGGAAGAATATTTAGCGCCAGTGAGCTCGGCCTCAATATCTTCACGTTTAGGCATCTGATAGTGTTCGCACTTCAGGCATGCATTTTTATGCCTGGGATCAATGCATACCCGTAGTGAGCCGTCCTTTTTACGAACGATCACAAGCGGGCTTACCCAGTCCGTTGGTTCCGTAATTATTGTAATGATGCCACCCCTTTCCATGCGGTCGAGTTCCTCCCGCAGCGGTTCTTCCAGTGTCAAGGGCACGCGTCTTGCTGTCTGGACTACAGGCACTGATCCAGTACGTAGTATCATCCGATACTGCCGTTTTGCACAGCCAGTTCCACGGAAAGGGTGAGGAAATTCCTGCAATAAATGCCGACGTTTACTGCATCCACCGTTTTCGTGAAAAATCCCAGCGCCTCGCTTGCACGCAGTCCGAGTATTGCCTGGTTACCTTTCTTGACTATGAAGAAGTCGAAGTGACCAGAGTGATGCCTAATGGCCACCGGCAAGGTCGCAACGCCAACGTGTTTGATAGCGTCACCACCATATGGCCGTAGAGTGGAGCTGCTTGGCTTCAAGCTGTGTCTACCATTGCACTTTCGATAGACCGAGTATGGCAGCAAGTTTGCTTTGGAGCCTGTGTCTATTTTCAAGAATGCATCTTGGTGGGCCACTTTAGCATTTCTGATCAAGTCCGTCGAACTTCACACGATGCAAGCTTTTACGTCAAGGATGTCGAAGGTGTCCGGGTCATTGACGACTACGCCTACTGTAGGCCCTTTCTTGCAACAAGCTGCAAAGTGATTTGCGCCTCCGCAGACAAAATACGTCTTTTCAAACGCCGGTCACCTGCTTCTTTCATGCGACCGGTTGCATTTCGTGCACTTGAACGGGCGTTTTTTTACCAGGGAAACATGTTTCTCGGCCTACGCCCACGTCTCGTTCTGTCACCTCACCAGTTCCGCGGCTTTCTAAGTTTGTTCAGTCTTAGCCAACGTAAGTTTTTTCACTTTCAGGAGCTTCTCCCGCATTTTCGGGTGTCCTAAACCGAAAACCACCTGGTCGCGTATTATTGACTCGGCCAATTCACCAAAGTTGCAGCTTCACAACAATTTTCTCTGATCACGCAGGAAATGCTCAATGGGCTGGGCTTCGTCCTGGGTTCTTGACTGGAATATGTATCTTTCAGAGACTTCATTTACTTGTTCTTGACAGTATTTCATAAACTTCCGCGCGACCATCGTGTAGTCATTCTTGCTTTTCGTTTCCAGAAAGGTGAAGTTGTTAAACACTTCGAGTGCATCGTCGCCGGCCACACTGAGCAGAGGCGCAGCCTTCTCAGCTTCTGACCTTGGCTCTTTCGCTCATGCTGTCACTTGAAGAAACAGCTCGAACTTCTGCAGGAACAAGTCCCAATTATTCGCAATGTTGCCGGAAAGTTGCAGGTGCTCTGGTAGCTTAACTAGTTGTTTCATTGCCTCGAATACGTACGCCAACAACAACCTGTCGTACCCATCGAGCCATCCCGCTTCTGACACCATGTATCGTTCAGATTGAATGCAAGAATCAACGAACTTTATTCAGGAAACACCCCGAGTATATCTACAAGCCGATATCATAGTCACGTGCTGGCTAATCTTCGCAGTCTGTCAATGGAGCTTCTACCAGCGACGCATGCGTAGCATACACGATGCACAAAAATGTTGACCGGCAGGATCGTATCGAATGCCAGTGCTGCTTCTCGTAGCGCGCTAGCGCGTCCCGAAGCAGCGAGCATCTTGTCAGCTTCCCGGACATCAGCCCCTTCCCGCAGCCGGCTCTTCACTCCACGTCGACTTCACCAGTTAATTTGCTCCTCGTCGACTAACTTCTACACAAGCTAAGGAGGGAAGATGTTTGAGGCTCGTAATGGGTCCCCTCGATGACTCGAGTGCATGGTGACAGCACGAAGGAAGAGCCATAGTGCGGCGAAGAGACGCTTTATTGCAGCCTCAGGTGTCTGAAGCAGCAGCTGGGGTCATGCCGTACTCGGATTTAAAAAATAGAGTGCTGAAGGAGCTGCAGATGACTCCAAGCGAGTACCGACGGATGTTCGTGGAAATCTAAAAAGAGGCAAACGAGTCCTGAAGTGAAGTGACGGGGCGCCTAGAGACTATGTTTGATTACTACGTCAGAAGTTGTCAAGTGAAGACATTAGGTCTTCGGGAGTTGCTAACTGCTGATAGGCTAAAGCAGTTAATGCCAAGTGATCTTTACTTACCGGTCTCTCAGCAGGATGTGGAAAGCTGATTGAAGGCCAAGGATATTGCGGAGTTACCTGCTAGTTTTGAGAAAAGCCTCGACAGTGGGTGGCAGGGCAGTTACCGCGGTGCGAAATTAAGAAATTTCAGTTAAAAGCAGCAAGACAAACCATTTGCTTGAGCACATTTGAGCTCCAAATCAGGAGCGTGTTTTAGCTTGGGGGAATCGGGTCACTTTCGAGAGATTGCGAGCTTTCACGTAACACAGCTGCTAATACAGCAGAAGTTTTATGTGTAGCTCCCCAGAATAAGCGACCATAGGAGAGCCGAGCTACACCGTCGCGACAGCCTACCGCGATAAAAAACCCATTGATGAGGGATCCACATATTGAGACTTTTGTTGGAAACAAACCTTCTTTTGCACGCGTTGACTCAGGAGTGGAGGTTCGGGCTTGAACTCGGGCAGACGCCTGAGGCAGCAATAAAGCGTCTCTTCACTGGACTACGGCTCTTCGTTCGCGCTGCCACCGTGTACCCGAGTCATCGAAGGGACCCATTCCGAATCTCAAACATCTTTCCTCCTTAGCTAGTGTAGAAGCTAGACGAGAAGAGGAAATTAACTGCGTCTGTGAAGTTATGCTCGAAAAACCTTTGGCTGAGTGCGAGACTTGCGGTAATTGTGGCATTTCATTGGCGTGCGGAAACATCCGTATTGGGCAAACGAAAATTTGTGTGAATAAGTGGTTGAAAGAACATGATACTTTTTTGAGCGCTAACAGGCCAGCGATTGGGCTGTTTGTTCTACGACGTCAAAAGGGTGTGCTTACCTAGCCGGGAAATAAATTTTAAGCGTATTGTGTCGGAAAAGTGAGCCAATGCGCTTGTGTGGAAAGTGTCGTTCGACCTATAGTTTGCAAATAAAGCACAGTTGAATGGTCACAGTTTGTCCGTGTGTGCCTCCTTCCTGTGTACGTGTTTCTATATTTTCACTAACACCCCATGTCTCAAGTTCTGAAAGGTCAGTTTCTCTACCTATGGTAGAATCGCTATTGGACTTATTTTTCGCCCGTGCCGTAGGCTGTCTTGTAAGGAAAACTCCAATAAAAGCCTGGTTTTTCTCCTTTGCATCACGTGGGCGTAATTGTACCGGATGGTATTGTTCTGACCAGTGCCACCTCTCTTCGTCTAAAAGAAGAGGCGAGCCAGCAACGAGTCAGTGGTCACTCATGCGCCGAAATTTCTCCGCTTGCCTCGTGAATCTCACGTGGGCAATGCGAACAGCATCCAGCTGTTTCCTTAGTCAAGACGTCGACAGGTGGAGACAGCACCGCGGCAAGCTCTCCACCAGTGTTCCCGTTTCTTATCATGGCATTTTGTCCTCCATATTTTCACCTCGCTTCAACCTCACTCACTGTCGTAGCCAGTGCAAAAAAAATTTGCCACTAGGACGCACTACCTGAGGTGATATACACCAGTAAAGAGGTCAATTAATAAAGCTAACTCAATCAGCGAATAGGTTGATATTTTACCTAAAGTTGTAATTGGGATATCTGAGCCATGCTTGATCACTGACTAATTCAAAGTCTGGTTATTCGTGTTTAAATAGGTACATACAAACCTATTTGAGGCATACTGTTTATATTCTATTTTTATACTTAGATCAACTTCACATTAGCCAATTATCACCCTAAAATTATTCATAAACAATTTCTAAAATAAATATTTCTGTTTTATTGACGTATTTTTAAACGTGAACATGGCAAAAAAATTTCTTTCGCAGCTAGTGCGAACCAATGAGTGTGACACGAAGGCTCCAAACTCCATTAAAGGTAAGTTAGCTGTTTACTCTATTAGATGTGTTCTAGCATCACCAAACAATGCTGGTAATAGAGAATTTCCACTACAGCGAGAGATAGAGATTTATATATGTGTTGTCTGTCATCTAAATTTAATCTGCATGGTGAGATCTGAGCCCACACAGCAGTATAAGAGCTGTCTACTGATGACTTTTCGTTTAGCACGTGCGCAAGCGTTCACTATCGTGGCCTTTTGATCAGTGTTGGCACTTGCTGTCTGAATGGTGCCGACCCCGAATTCCTCCAATGGCACCCCTTTATCATGTCACACGACATAAAACGCGGAGGCGGTCATTTCTCCTTACTAAAAAAGCCAGGGAAAGAAGTCTCGCACAGGGACCATATTGTCGCATGTGCTGCTCTTGCGAGGCAAATCAGCGGCTCTTTCCATCTCCGCTTGAGACACCATTGTTCCTAGTTCGCGCACGCTTTCAGCTGCGTGTAGAAAATACGATGCGCGGGCAATGTTGCCAATGTGGGGTACACAATATTAGGGACATGATGGCGAAACAGACTGTGAAAACCTGTCAAACTGGTTTATATAAATACAATGGCGGTAAATAATTCAGTATACGGCAACGGTTAACGCAGATACGTTCGAATGCGTGATACGTGCGCCCACATTGTATATTTCAATAATATTGTTCAACAGCACCTGTCGGCAAGTTCGAAAACATTCATGTGTAGTGCGGAACAAATATGTGTTCCAAGAGCATTAAGCTGACGTTTCTGTTGTGTTTTATCTTGCAACAGTCTTCAGGTGTAGTAGTTATCAAGTTGCGGTGATAAGTGAATCTTCGCCACCGCGTATGTGTACCCGCGAACCACTTGTATATATAGGCAGGTGTCTCACGTTACTGTGTTCTTTTGTGTGGTTTTGAGGGTGACTGTCTGCATGCCGGAATAAAGAATTTGTGAAGCATGCTCCGGCTCTGAAATTACAACAGGATTGGCGACCAGGATGGGATCCAGGTAGTCGCAAAAACAGAGGCTGTTCGGGGTGTCTTGCTCAGTTTCGTGGATGGATTCGTCACGTAGCAAGGCGTGTGACGCGAGGGAGATGGAGACAGTGAGGAAAACAAAAGGAAGTTATATTGGACGAAAAAAAACTATCGCACATACAATACTAAAGTTGTACACGCACGCGGTTCACAAACAAAAGAAAATAAACAGTCTCACAGTCTGAGCCGTAACCCGGTGCCTTGAAGTGGGACCCGTTGCGTACTCGGATGCAGTCGTCTCTTGGGTGCCAGGTCAGCATACCACTGTAGAGGGCATCACCAGTTCTAAGCGTAGCCGCACACTGTCAGCGACGTCGGCTTGGTGGACGTGGTCAGCAGCTCCGGTCTTTCGAGGGCACTCGCCGTACCGGAGATGTCCGCAGGACCACAGTTAAGTTTTCCTTCTCGTTCGTTGATCTCCTTGATATGGATTGAAGTCCCGTCAAGGAGATGATCGGCGTCGATGAAGCAGGAGGCAGGTTAGAGGTAATGAAAACTTGAAGGTATATTACAGCGAAATATTTACAGCCATATGTACATCTTGCCGAAGCACACTCATGATAACACAGACATCAACAGCGTCTTACTCTTCTACTTAACTTTTCTTAAGTTAGAGCCTAGAGCACTGTTACTACATACAACGTACTTAGTCTCACTGTTCGACCACCAAATGGTTACGGCCCTGACAAAAGTTGCATCGTACGGAGTCGTACTGATCTATCAGTTAAGTGATTGCAGCCTCGACTGAAGAGAAACGGATTCCCTCCAGTCTTAAGCATCTTGCGGTAACAAAGAAAAAGGGGAGGGGGCCACTGCTGGTCCGCCTCAACATTCTCTCATCCAATCTGTTTCTACTCAGATTAAGTCACTTCCTACTGGGCTGACTTTACTCTCGACAGCAACGCTTCTACAGTTTAAACAGGCGTTTTGGTACTCTTTCCCATCATGTCTCTCTCTCCCCACCTCCCATGCGCTCAGGAATTCTAACGCTCGGGAGATATCGGCATTGTAGACCCGGTACATTCATGCCCTTTCCCACACCCAGCGAGCCGAGACGAACCTCCAAAGCCGGAAATTGAATGATTGCGCGCGGAACGTTATTGCCCCCGCAGGTAGCAAGCGGCCTTTGACTTTCTCCGCTTTCCTTGTGCTCGGGTCGTGCATCGGTGCGACTTTGAGCCGATCGCCAGGACAGAGCGTGTCGCCTACTCCCACTGAGCTCGCGCCCGGCAGCAGAGGCAGGACGGGGTCGCTTAATCCCATTGTGCGTTTGCCCCCGGCAGCGGCGACTTGTCTCTAAACCACAAACATTCCAAGCCGGTTGGCAGAGCGGGTTCGTTTCACATTGTGTGTTTGTCCCCGGCAGCGGAGGAGACGGACGTAGTTTGCATTCCAGAGGATAAGTGGTGTACAGTTACACGGGCATACCGAGAGAGAGTCGAGAAAGAAGCTTTGTATAACGTAGCTTCCCGCGCTGTCGTCCCATGCTCAAAGGAAGCAATTTGCGACCTTGCCGAGGGAGATCCGAGAAAGAAGCTTTGAATAACGTAGCTTCTGGTGCTGTCCCATCCGCACGATCAACTTACGAGCGGCAAAACATAACACGTCCCCCCTAAAGAGTATAATGGGCTGTTTTACGCTCAGTGATACGATAAAGCATTGCCGCGATTAAGTCCCTGGATTTTCTAACCACACAACAATTGTACACAAGCATCAACCACAATTGCAAGTCAACACTACAGGAGAATACACTAAACGAAAACAAATACATGCTAAACAATCAAGTACAGCATTTCGGCTTCAAGCAGTGAGATCACTAGTGTCTGTTTCTTGAATTGTCAATCACACAGTCCACAATATACAGCAGCACGTGGGCAGGAACATTCACGTCCCCCCCAGTTGGCATGGCACTGTTATTCTGATGGCTTCCATAAGCTATCCTGAAGCCTAGATAACGCATCCGCATTACCGTTACATACTCCCTTCCGATGTTCTACCGACACATGATATCGCTGTAAAGCCAGCGGCCATCTTGTTAATTTCGCCCCGTGCGGAGTCGAAGTTGTAAGGTACGACAGCGGATTGTGGTCGGAAACGACGTTTACTAAGGCACCGAAAAGCCAGTAGTCAAACTTCTTTAAGGCCCATATTATTGCGAACGCTTCCCTCTCAATTGTCGACCAACGCATCTGAGTCGGCGAGAAGGGGTGGCTTGCAAAGGCGATAGGTCTCTCTTCTCCCTCGGCTGACATTTGTGCCAAACATGCTCCCGCCGCCGTAGCTGATGCGTCTGTGAAAAGCCAGTGGGGCTGAGATGGCTCAGGGGTGTTTAGCGCCACGGCCTCGCACAAAGATCGTTTGAGAGTCTCAAATGCCGCCTGAGCTTCCTCCGGCCAGGGCATCTTATGAGGTACCGCTTTCTTTGTTAACAGCGTGAGCGGGCTCGTCACCTCTGCATATCCTCGGACGTACTCTCGATAGTAGCCGCAAAGTCCTAACAAGCTGCGTAGTTCCTTTTTGGTGCGCGGTGATACCAAGTTCTTAACTGCTGCTATCTTTTCTGGGTCTGGTGCGTGTGTCCCTGAACCGACAATATGCCCCAGGTAATGTATGTGGGATTGCGCAATCTGACACTTCTCTGGGCTGCCTTTCAGTCCCGCCTTCTCTAAGACCTTAAGAATAATGTCAAGATGCCTTAAGTGCTCCTCCCAAGTGCTAGAAAAAATAGCAATATCATCTAGGTATGCCGTGGCATACACTTGATGTTGCGACAAGAGTTTGTTCACCATTCTTTGAAAGGTTGCCGCGGAATTTTTCAGCCCGAAAGGCATCACTTTCCATGTGTACTGACCTTCATGCGTTACATATGCGGTGAATTTCTGACTCTTTTCTTCCATCGGTACCTGCCAGTACCCGCGCCTAAGGTCCACTACCGTAATGAACTGCACTCTGCCTACTCGGAAAATCAATTCCTGAGGATTCATCATCGGCAGCAGAGGCAGGACGGGGTCGCTTAATCCCATTTGGCGTTTGCCCCCGGCAGCGGCGACTTGTCTCTAAACCACAAACATTCCAAGCCGGTTGGCAGAGCGGGTTCGTTTCACATTGTGTGTTTGTCCCCGGCAGCGGAGGAGATGGACGTAGTTTGCATTCCAGAGGATAAGTGGTGTACAGTTACACGGGCATACCGAGAGAGAGTCGAGAAAGAAGCTTTGTATAACGTAGCTTCCCGCGCTGTCGTCCCATGCTCAAAGGAAGCAATTTGCGACCTTGCCGAGGGAGATCCGAGAAAGAAGCTTTGAATAACGTAGCTTCTGGTGCTGTCCCATCCACACGATCAACTTACGAGCGGCAAAACATAACAACCACTCACCCAGAACTCGTGCTTGGCCACGCCGACACGCCGTGCCCCGAGGACGTCAATGGCTGGAGGAAAGGAACCCGGCCTTTCGAACCTCGCGCGTAGTTGCGCGTTCGCCCTAGGCTCCCTTGTGTCGTCTTGCCGCCGTCCGAACAGCTTCGTTCTCCGTGAGCGTCTCCTCTTCTTTCTTCAATTGGCGCGCTGCAATGCCCCTTCATTCTTCTTTACTTCCAGGTGATGTGGCGCTGTCGTCCGCTATGCTCGCATTTTTTCAAGCTACTACATCACATCACCCCCCCCCCCCTTAAGTAAGTTCTTCCGGTAGAAAGACTTGAGGGCACTGGGGACACGTTCGTTCGCAGTCGGAAACACACACGTAAACACCACTGCACACTATAGCCGTTCCGAGCCCCGCAGACTCGGCACATTCGGTCACAAAAATACACACCAAAAAAAGAAGAAACAAGTCACAGAACTAAAGCATCATGATACTTGTATCGCGCTGTAAAGTTCACATCGTAAGCTAATAATACCACTGAGCATCGATTCTTCGTACAGACGTTGCTCACGGAGTTGGCAAACGGCTCATGTAATCGTCGTCTATGTTGACTCTGCCTTTGATATACTCGACCGAGAAGTCGTACTCCATAAGAACGAGGCTACACCGTAATATGTGGCTGTTCACATGCGTGGCCGACTTGATGTACACAAGCGATTTGTGGTCACTCTGTAGACTGAATGTGCGTCCAAAAAGGTAGATGTGAAATTTCCGAAGCACCCCCGTAATAGCCAGGACCGCTGGCTCCAATTAGAGTAAGCAGTTTCGCATAGTTGCAGTCTACGGCTTGCATGTAACACTGGGTGCAGTATTCTTTTCGTTGGAATGAAACGCGTGGTAGCTCGTCACTTTCGGTGTCATCCGCATGGCAAACAGCTGATGCTTCATGTGGTGGTGCAGGCGACCATTCCTCATAGTTTTTCAGTAGGTTTATATGGAATAGTCTGCTTCTTGTACCGAGATCAATTAAATAATCGACATCATTTCTCTTCTCAAGGACAATGAAGGGTCCCTTCCACGTCAGAACCAATTTGTTGGTATTCGATGGAAGCAGAAGCAGAACCTTGTCTCCAGGGGTACTTGACGTGGTCCGGCCTTTTGGTCATAATGCTTCTTTTGTACTACCTCCGCTTTCTGAAGCTCCTCTTTGGCTAAACGGCAAGTGTCTTCAAGACAATTACGCAGTTCGACTACGTACCCGTAGGATGTTTTTACATCATCATCAAGATGATCAGCGGCTCATAATTCTTTCAATATCGCCAGGAGACCTCTGACGTAACGGCCGTACAGCAAGTCGAACGGGGATAAGCCTAAGCTCGACTGGGGAACTTCGCGATAAGCGAAGAGTAAGGGCGCCAGGTACCGGTCCCATTTCGTCGGACACTCCTGACACATTCTTCTTATCATTTGTTTCAGGATGCCGTTGAACCTCTCTACAAGGCCATTAGCCATAGGATGATATTGGGTTGTTGGCAATTGGTTGAAGGAGAGAAGTCGGCTTAGCTCCTTCATTAGGCGTGACAAGAATGACGTACCTCTGTCACTCATTATCTCCCGTGAGACACCTACACGAGAAAACATCTCCAGAAGTGCCTCAGCGACTTTCTCCGCCTCGATGCTCGGCAGTGCTACAGCATCAGGATAACGCGTTGCCATGTCCACCATTTTCAGTACGTACTTGTTTCCACCCTCTGACATCGGTGATAATGGACCCACAATATCAGCGGCTACTCTCTTGAACGGGGTGTCAATTATAGGAATGTTGCCGAGAGGTACACGAACCACCAAGTACTTGGGAATAATTCTTTGACATATATCACACGATTTACCAAATTGTGTGATGTCTGACTGAACCCCTGGCAAGTAGAAGTCTTCGAGTACCTGGTCTGTAGTTCGTTTAATTCCGTGATGTCCCGAAAGGTTGCCTTCGTGGGCCATTTTCATAACAAAATGTCGGAGGCACCTCGGTACCACCAGGTGATTCACCTGCCTCTCAGAGTGAAGGGTGTACTTGCGATAGAGGAGTCTGTCCTTCATAAAGAAGAATATTTTAGCAAACCTTGTCTTGACCTCTTTGTTAACGGCTTAGAAGCATTTCCGCAGGCTGCTGTCTTCCTCCTCTTTGGTTCTAAAGTCCTGTTGCCTGATGTCCAAGGGGTTAATAACTGGAGCCGGAAGTAGATGTGGATTTCCTGCCTGTTGGTTTACTGCAGCAACTTTTGTCTTGAAACGTGTTTTTCTTGCAGCTGACATTGAAGTCTTTGCATACAAGGGTTTGTGTGCAGAACCGGATTTTTCTGCGACAGAATACTCTTCTGCCCTGTTCCGGGTGTAAAGACGGCTCTTCCAATTGTTATCAAAATTGTGAGCATCTCGAACGCCTTCCACGTTTCCTAAGACAACATCATATAAAGGAGTATCCATACAAAGGGCTCGAGTTTTGCCAGTGAAGGAAGGTGAAAAAATTTCCACGTGTGCCTCAGGCAGCTTCATCAAGCGTCCATCCAAGAGGTGAATCGAGGAAATCTTTCCAGTTAGCTTGCTATCCGCCACAAGAGACCTTTTGACAATGGTTGAATCGCATCCAGTATCTCACAGTACTGTTGCGGGATATCCTTCGAGTACACCTTCGCCCGTGGGCATCGATTTTTTCTTCAGCTTGGCTGGGTGCGTTTCCGCGCACTCCGGACTATAAGGAACACAAAGGGAAGCCTGCGACTCTGAATTAATTATCTTGGCTCCATCTTTTTGTTGAAAAGAGCATGAGGCCTTCTCAACACTGTTGGCTTTTTTGGAGCAGTCACCTGTTTTATGCCCATTGCAGCGGCATTTTCAACAAAAGGGTTGCTTTGTACCGAGACCCTTTGTGTTGGTCCAGCAATCAGCACCTCTGTGACTCTTTTTGTTGCAAAGGAAGCACTGTGGTATCTCTTTATCGTCTTGCCGTTCAGACGTTCGAGCTTGACCTGGAGGCTTGCTCAGGATATCGCCTTTACATTTGCCAAAATTAATTATCCCCTGGGCCTCCAAGTAGCGGTCTGTGGTCTCCGCAAGTTTTTAAGGCTTTCACAGTTTCTTTCCTTAAGAAACACAGCGAGTTTCTCATTGCATTGTGCGAGAAACTGCTCCGAGACAATTTTGTCTCGCAGAGCATCGTAGGTCCGGTCTGCCTTGACCATTTCTTGCCAATGGTCAAATTAACCTAATAAACGCCCGGCAAACTGCTCTCCCGTTTCAGAATTATCTGGTTTTGCTGATCAAAATTTTGTCCGATAGCCTTCTTCTGTGAACCTAAAGCGTTGTAGTAGCGTTTTCTTCAACGTAACATAGTCTGTGGCATGTTCAGGTGCCATCCTACCAACTACACTCAAGGCTTCTCCTGTCAAGCAGAGGCTTAGTGATAGGGCCCATTTGTCTTGCGGCCAGTCTTGACTAGTAGCGACGCGCTCAAATCGCTGTATATATGCGTCCAGCTCATCGCGTTCCTCGTTAAAGGCTGGGATCAGTTTATGTGGACTTTGGTAGCTCTTCGTTGTGCCTACGGGTGCAACCTGGGTAAGCTGCCCAGTAGTTGTGCTACCTGCTGTCGCACCTAACTAATGCAACGTTAACTTGAGCTCAAGAACTTCCTTCTCTGCTTGTAATCTAGTGACTGCCTCTGCCTCGGCTTCTTTCGCGGCATTTAGTTCAGCCAGACGAGCGTCACGTGCCTCTTTTTCGCGTGTGCGTTTTCGGTCCATCCAATCTTTCAGTGCTGATCCACTTAACCCCAATTCCTTTCCGATCGCCGTCAGCTTATCTGCTTCCATCATCGACCGTCACACACACATATGCGATGTGATGCTCTCTTTAGATGTAACAAGAGTAGTCCTGTCGCAGACGCCAGATATGTCGTGGTTAGGTTCGTCACGTAGCAAGGCGTGTGACGCGAGGAAGATGGAGACAGTGAGGAAAACAAAAGGAAGTTATATTGGACAAAAAAAACTATTGCACTTACAGTACTAACGTCGTACACGCACACGGTTCACAAACATAAGAAAATAAACAGTCTCACAGTCTGAGCCGTAACCCGGTGCCTTGAAGTGGGACCCGTCGCGTACTCGGATGCAGTCGTCTCTTGGGTGTCAGGTCAGCATACCACTGCAGAAGGCATCACCAGGCCCAGGCGTAGCCGCACACTGTCAGCGACGTCGGCTCGGTGGACGTGGTCAGCAGCTCCGATCTTTCGAGGGTGCTCGCCGTACTGGAGATGTCCGCAGGACCACTCACCCAGAACTCGTGCTTGGCCATGCCGACACGCCGTGCCCCGAGAACGTGAATGGCTCGAGGACAGGAAATTGGCATTTCGAACCTCGCGCGTAGTTGCGGGTTCGCTCTACACTCCCTTGAATCATCTTGTCGGCGTCCAAACAGCATCGTTCTCCGCGAGCGTCTCCTCTTCCCTTTTCCATTGGGCGCGCTGCAATGCCCCTTCATTCTTTTCATCTTCAGGTGATGTGGCGCTGTCCTCTGCTATGCTCGCATTTTTTTTAGCTACTACATCACACTCAGAAAGTTTCCAGAGTTTGATCCGCAAGTTGACAACTGCGTCGTTTTGTTCGATTATTTTGAGTGTTTTGTCGTTGCTAACAGCGTCGCAGAGGATAAGAAGTTGGAAGTGCTATTTACGTGTATAAGGGCCAAGGCATACGTCACGCTAAGAAGCCTTCTTCTGCCGATCACGCCCACCCAGAATACGTAAGAAGAGGTCATCGCAACGCTGAAAAAGCACTACACCATGAAATGCTGCATGTTTGCGAAAGACACCGTTTTAACCGACTAAAGCAAGAGCCGCACGAAAGCGTCAGCGAATTTATAGTATAGACTCAAGAAACTGTCTGCAACGCGCGAGTTAGCCACTTCTCTGGAGCAAGCCCTGTGAGATCGTTTTATCGCAGGATTGCGTTCCGACAGCATACGTTGCCAGCTTCTGGCAACACCTGATGCGGAATTAAATCGGGACCGAACTTGCAGTGTTGTAGCAGCCATAGAGTCTGCTACTAGAGGCACCAGGGAAATGGTGGCGAGCCTACAAAGGGGGGTCATGGTCGACAGTGACGTTCACTGCCACAAAAAAAAACAGCGGCGTCGCAGCGGCAAGCACCTAGTGGGGACTACGACAGGAGTGTCACGTCAAAAACAGCTTCACCAGCGTGCCCTCAAAAGACTAAGGTATGTTACCGTTGCGTAGGCCAGTGTTTTAAATGTAACAAAAAAGGCCATGTAGCCAAAATGTGTAAAACTAGGGCGTCTGTTCATTGCCTGCTGTATGAGGCAATGAGTGATGAAATATTGACACTGTGCCACACAGACCGTAAGGCGGGCACGCCTGCCATTGTAGTGACGTTTCTGGTAAATGGAAGGGAAACTCTGAACGGTTAAAGCTTTTCCCGATGCAATTTTCAGTGAATCAGATGTCACGTTAGTCTCCTGCATTAGCTCGCATGTGACAGTCAAAGGTTTGATGGATGTTGATGTAAAGTACCAGAGCCAACAAGTTCGCTTGCCACTTGAGATTGCTAAGGATAGCACAGAGGCTAGATTGCCAACACTATTGGGGCTTGAGTGGCTAATGAAAATAAAACTTGACTGGTCGATTGTTGTACGGTACAGAACGTACGTGAAAAATCACAGCTAGCTTATAAGTACCACGATGTATTTCAACTAAGATACGGAGCACAAAAGGGTTTAACGGTAGTATTGGGGTCAAGAAACACGCTACTCCTGTTTTTCGTAAAGCGAGACCAGTGCCATACGCGTTACATGAGCAGGTAGAACAAGAGCTGCTTAATAAGGAGAAGGCAGGCATTGGGTAGCGCGTGCGGCACAAGGCGTGGGCCACCCCTCTGCTGTTAGTACCAAAAAAGAATAAAGGAATTTGACTTTGAGGGGATTCCACGTTACCGTCAATCCTTCGTTGAAGTTGACCATCACCCTCTACCGCCACACGTACAATTTTTCACCACGTTGGAAGGGGGAGCTGTGTTTTCGAATCTTGTCCTCAGTAAGGCGTATCTACAACTCGTAGTAGACGAGCACGCGCAGAAACTGCTCACCGTTACCACGCACATAGGCCTTTCCGGTACAAGTGCCTACCCTACGGTGTAGCCTATACACCAGCCGCATTTCAGGCAGTGATTGACTAAGTACTGATGAACTTGCAGGGCATGGCTTGCTATCTACAATGTAATCATAACAGAATTTAGCCACGAGCAGCGTCGTAAAAGTGTTAAACAAGTCTTCATGCGTCTAAGCCGCTACGGTATTAAAGTCCGCGCGGAATAGTGCAGCCTGTTTTAAAAAATGGGGACCTACTTAGAACACAAAGACAGGAAGAAGCAAAACGAGGAAAGGCTGGAAAGTTAACCCAGGTGAGCGCCCAGTGTGCTACCCTGCAGTGGGGATACGGGGGGGGGGGATTAAAAAGCGAAAATTAAGAGAGGAGTAGAGCACTGTGCGCACAAAGATGTACAGACAGTCAGTCACTGAAGGGCGAAACTTTTCTGGCCAACTTGACTTCAGCATTCAGACATGCGACAGGGAAATAGCGGCCTTCCCGAGGGTGATAGAAGATCCGTCGGGACTAGTGAAGCCCTGAAGACATTGCAATGAGAACCTCCAGCAGTGTCGAGCTGTTTGGGCTGACGGAGTCTTTAGCCTTTTCAAAAGCAGAAATATGATGTCCGTGAGAGTCGTAGCGTCGCCGGGATTTCATGGTATTCTTCAGGCACGGCGTGGTTCACGAGTTGATACCAAGGAGTTGAACCCATTTACTGACGAGGTAAGGGTAATAAATAATGCACCAAAGTTCGACAATGTCACGCAACTAAAGACGTTTTTGGGTCTGGTGACTCTGGTTAATTTTTACGCAAACTTTTTGCCATATTTAGCTACAGTACTGGAGCCTCTTCATAACTTGCTTCGCAAGGAAACCAGGTGGCACTGGTCATCACTATGTTACGACGCTCTTAACAAGTGTAAAACGTCGTCAACGGATGAAAGTGTGTTGGAAATATACGATGTGTCGAAAGAAATTCTGCTCGCATGTGACGCTTCAGAGTATGGCCTAGGAGCCGTAATCGCACATGTCGTGAACGGCCAAGAGATGCCTATTGTGTTCGCCTCAAGATCGATGTTGGTGTTCGAGTTAACAGATCACCAACAAATGACGGTTCTTTTCGACCTACACCGACTATGCGATGCCGAGGCAACCACCAGGGTGCACAGATGGCTGACCTTTCTAGCACACTATAGTTCCAAAATTACGCATAAACTGGCCACGGCTATCTAAAATGCTGATGCTTTGTCAAGCTATCATTGTGAGAGGTGGCGCATGAAAGAGACAGAATTTGTCACTTCTCGACGTTGTCAGATTTGCCGGTAATAGCGAAAGACATTGAGCGTGCAACAGGGTGTGATTGTTTGCTGCAAGTTGTACGAAATAGTACATGGCATAGCTGGCCAAAGACCGTCAGCGCAGAACTGCAGCCGTTTCGGGTTCGCCGTTTAGAGCTCACAGTAGACGGGAGCTGTATTGTTTGTAATAACGGGGTAGTTGTTCCTGAAAGCTTGAAGACGGTAGTACTGGCACTATTGCATGAACAACATCCACAAACATTAAGGCTGTTACACGTTAAATGGTCTGGTGGCTGGGAATCGACGGTGCACTAGAAGAGACGGTGCGCAAACTCAGCATCTCTCAGGCAGTCCTTCCTGCAACGAAGCCTGTTTCGTTGCTTCCATGGAAAGTTTGGGAACACCCATGGCAACGAGTACGCTTGGATTTTGCGGAAAATAAACCGCAAACATTTTAATTGCAGTAGATGCTTTTTCTGATAGAGATTAAGGTAATAGGTAATAGAGGTTAAGGGTAGAAGTTAAGTGCATGCACTCGACAACAGCTACGAAAACAGTCAAAACTGTGCGTTCTTTGTTTACTTCGCATGGGTTGCTCGTGGAAGTGGTTACGAGTAACGGGCCTGAGTTCTACGCAGCTGAATTCCAAACTTTTCTGAAAGCGAATGGCGTGAAGCATACGCTCACCACACCGTATCATCCATGCTCAGCCGAGTGAACGCTGCCAGCAAATAAAAAGGCTCTCCTGAAGCAATTAATAGATGACAAAAGAAAAGGTACAAACAGGACAATACAACATCGCCTAGATAATTCTCGTTCTTGCATCACGCAGCACCATAAATTTTCACTGAAAAATCACCAGCAGAATTGTTTCTGCGACAGAAACTGAAGACCCACTTATCGTTACTATGATCAAATGTGAAAGAGATTTTGACTGAGCAAGCAGAGAAAATTAAAAAAATCCGCTGACAAGCGCCACGAAATGGTCCAATCTTTTGCTGTGGATAAATTTGTATCAGTATGATCGGTTCGTAGAGAGACTGTAAAGTGGTTATAGGGCAGAGTATTGTAGGTCAAATCAGTACGCAAGTACTTAGCGTTGGTGGTGAATCGTGTGCGATACGTGCATGCCGATCATTCGCGCCACTCCTCTCCGGAACAAATGAAAGAGTCAGCGACGGACTACGAGTTTGAACGGGTGATGTTCCGTACTACGCCATAGACATAAAAATTTCCTATTGAATGCAAAGCATTGCTTAGCGAAATTCGGCGACTTTGAGCGTATCTATCTATCTATCTATCTATCTATCTATCTATCTATCTATCTATCTATCTATCTATCTATCTATCTATCTATCTATCTATCTATCTATCTATCTATCTATCTATCTATCTATCTATCTATCTATCTATCTATCTATCTATCTATCTATCTATCTATCTATCTATCTATCTGTCTATCTATCTATCTATCTATCTATTTATCTATCTATCTATCTATCTATCTATCTGTCTATCTATCTGTCTGTCTAGCCGCCTACAACATTTTGCTCTCCTGGCCGTTTCGAGAATGGTATTGATAAGAAATTTGGTATGGGATAACATCACTGTACGAAAAACATGTTTTTCCAGTCATAACATGAAAATCAAGATATGTGTGTCAGGAATGTCATGATTTACAATTCATAGCTCTGCAGCTCTTGCGGTGGTTTCGATCACATGGCTTGTTGCAAACCTGGTATGGTATGGTATGATTTCAAGGCGTACACAAGCGACAAACCCTAACATGAAAAGCATGACATGCGTGTCATGTAACAACAAGACTACATGCCACGCTCATGTTGCGCTCGCGGCCGTTTCGCTGACGTCACATATTCCAAATTTGCATTACAGTA